AAAGGATTCTAGGCGTCCGCAACGGGCACGTCCAAAGCCTAGAATTCGTCCTATAGAATTGGCTTTAGGGATTGGGCGTCCTTGAAAACTGTGGACTCATCGAAACCCACGTCTCTTGTCCTCAATACTGCTTTCATCTCTAGAACCCAGATTCTGTATATGTTGCTGCTATCGTATCCACAGAGATAGCCGATGTGGGCTCTCGGAGCCAGCTTCTGCTTTCGGTTACGTCCCCCTTGGGCGTCTGCCGTGAGAGGATACGCCCTGCATCCGTATCTTCGCAGGTGAGCCAGGCCTGGAGCCGTAGTTCGAGCGGCAAGGCCCTTGGAGTTGAGCCAGTCGTTCAGCCTTCCTTCTGGTGTCGCCCACTGTAGGCGTCCCTTCGGCGTGAGATTGTGGAGATATGCAGCGGTTTGTACCACCTCTGGCCACAAATCCTCCGGGAACCTAGCAGCCGAGGTAAGGGTTCTTGCGATGGTGAATATCGTGCCTCCATTGCGTTCTGCGGCACCGTTCTGTTCTGGTGTCCTTGCGGCTGATCTCTCCAAGAGAATGCCGCGCTCTTCTGACCAAGTAACCAGATTGCTGCGTAGTGCTGAGTCCCAGTCAACTCTCAGGACCTTAATGACCAGATGGTACTGTCTCCAGAGAAACATCTCAAAGTTAATAAACGCCTGGAAGCCATCTGCTCTGGCAGGCAGAATCCTGACAACAATCTTCCCCGAATATGCGTCCGTTATTACAAGGCACGACTCCATGCCGTTATACGACTTCCCAGGGCTGAAGAAGTCCAGGTTAACGCGCTCAAATGGATTCGTCGTCGTGTACGTTGGCTGTCTCCGAGATACAATCTTCTTGGATTTCGCTACCCCGCAAGACTCGCATTCGAATGTTGTTGGCCCTTTCACCCCAACTCCAGTACAGCTGTATAGCAGCTGCTGTATGGCCTCTGGGTGGGCATGAGCCAGCCGTTCGTGCCAGAGCCTCGAGTCGCTGACCATCGCGGCTCTCTGCTTCTTGGAGTGATAGAAGGAAGTGGTGCTATGTAGGGTGTTCACCGCATACTGGCCACCCTTCTCCTGAAGTGGGATCTCTGAGCCAGTGGCTGGGTTGAACAGCATGTTCCTGAGCGAGTCCAGTCCGAGTCCTTGGCGTTGGAGCTGCCTGGCTGAAATAAGCGTCGTCGGGTAGTCTTTGATGTACGAGACATCATAGCAGGTGATGCTGATGACGTTCTGCTTGCTGTCGAGGGTGTCGATGGCCATCGTGCCATGCCCTTCGACGGGGCTTGATTTGCCTCCTCCTGTGCTGTATCTTACAGTGTCGGTGGCCTCGCGAAAGTTGGTGAGGAGGTCTTTGTTGTTAGTTATATGGTTGGGTGTACCAGAGTCGATCAGGAACTCGTGACGGAGATCCCCTCCTCGGTTTGTCCGTTGAAACTCGTCCGAATCAGCGACGGAGAAGTTGCTCATGAAGTTGGTGTACTCGTCATCGCAGCTCTGTTCATCATCGTCACCGAGGAAGTTGTTAAAAGCAGAGACGGCGACTCCACTAGTGCCTCTTGCCTCCTGCCGCTTCTTTTTGTCCTCCTTGATTTTCTGGTTCCAGAATTGCAATGTGCTCAGCTTCATCCTGCTGTTCGCTTAGTCAATCAGTCCAGCAGGCTCAGATGGGATCATTAGCTCCTATTCCTTCCATGGTGCCTGATACAGGGCCACAGCCCGCACGGTGGCAGCGCGATCGGGCCCTCGTGGAGCGTGCGCAGGAAGAGAATGATGAGGCAGATGTCGAGGAAATGGCAGCGGGCAAGTAGAGCGGGGCGCGGAACGTGCGACGGTCGCCGGTGATGGTGCGAGGCAGCCCGGGCCCGTAAAGGTCGAAGAGCACGGGCAGAGGGTCGTCGCGGAGGGGTCTACACGTGGGACTCAGTGCCGACAGAGTCTTTTGGTCGCCGAAGGCATATCGACGACGGCGAGGGGCGAGTCGACTC